AGTTGTCTCTGGCAGTTTTCTTTTGCACTAATTTTGTCAGCAGTAACTAAAAAATATAAAAATCTGTAATTTTTGAGAGCCCTGGTAATATATTTGTATCTGTGACATTATAATTCACAAACCTTGATTCACTTGCTTAAGTTTTATGAAAAAAGAAAACTTTTCCACCAGATTTGTCCTACCAGTTTGAAGACTAATATAATCTTTTTTAAGTAGGAGAAAGCACATAATAACCAAACTATGACGCAATTTCTTGAGTGCCTCTTTAGATACATCAAATTATAAATCTGATTTTAGGGTATATATGTGTACAGCTGTTCTGATTAGGAACTAACTCTTTATATATCTATTTTCATTACATGTTTTCTTTTAAATGTGACCCCTCGTATTTCTTATTGTTCTAATATAAAAGCCCTCTAGTGGACAGTGTAACACTTCATCTTCCTGTGAATACACAGGTTTATTTATCAAATGAAGTATCTTATTGTGATGATTTTGAATTATAGTATGGTAAAATTCAGTTTTAATAAAGTGCTGTTTTGACTTATGTAAATATAAACATTTTAATTCATAGGATTGTCTAACAAAAAATTAATGCCTCGTTCAAAACAGAGTAGACCAAAATTGTGAGGGACCTTAGGAATGTACTTAAGCCAGTCCACACTGTTTGAATGTATTTAAACCATTGCTCACAAATGTCTTATCAAATTTGTTTTTTTAAAATCTCTAGGCAGTCTATTTCTACAACAGTCATTGCTGTTAGGAAGTTTTTCTTAATGACTGATGTAGGTTTCATTTATTGCATTTTTTATGCCTTCTTTCTAGTAGATTCAGAGAACTCCTGATATTTCTTTTAAACTTATTTTGTCTAGTGTGCCCACACATGTGGTTGCACACATTCCTTCAACTTTTGCTAAGAGTTTTTTTTCATTTTACACATCAAAAAAGAAAGAAACAAAAAAATTCAACATACAGAAACATGAATAATATAACTCAGAAACGACCTCCAAAGGTCATTGTGCCCAACCTTCTACTCAAAGCAGGGTCAATTAGAGAATGACCCAATTAGGTCAATTAGAGAATACTCATGTCTGGATTACACAGCAGTAATGCTAATTTGATATAAATTAATAGTTAAAATAATCTTGTAAGGCTGCTGTTGTGCATTTGTCTCTAGTATATATAGAGCTAAACCGTAGGGAAGAACTTCTACCCAAATGTTGCCAGAAGGTACCAAGTTCTGGATGGACAAAACATAGTAATGGCCCTAAATGCAATGGCTGTTCGTACAAAAATGGTCTGGTTACTTGGAGAACACATACATACTCCTGTGTGTGTGTGAATGTATGTATCTCTGCATATACATGTCTATATATACAATTTTTTGTTAATTATTTTAATTTTATTCTGTCTAATGTACTTTCTCAGCTTTGGAAGTAATTCAAACGAATATTCATGAAGAAACAGAATATGGGCTTAAGGTAAAGGTCTAATCTCCTAGTAAGTTTTGTCACATTCTTGACAAATATATATTATATAAGACTATGTTTTGCATTTTTACCTTAGTGTCAAGAATTGCTTTTTAAAGGTCAAAGTATTTCTGAAGAACTGGTTACAGAAATGATTCTGAAAAAGATTGAGTCACCCGAAGTTGCTCATTTTGGTGAGTATATTTCTAGCCTAAACTTCTTAGAATGAGCTAGCTATAATTTTGACACACTGCATTCATTACTACTCAAATACAATTTATTTTGTGTTAGACATTAAATCTTTTCTTGTGCTCCTCAGGTTGTAGAATATCCATAAACTGAGAGTGTATTTAGGGATTAATTTACCAGTATTGGAGATCAGAAGTTGTCATACCTATCCTGCCACACAAAATCACTGAGGTTGGAAAAGACCTCTAAGACCACGTAGTCCAACCATCAACCCAACACTACCGTACCTACTAGACCATGTCCTCAAGCGCCACGTCTACACATTCCTTGGACACCTCCAGGGATGGTGACTCCACCACTTCCCTGGGCAGCCCATTCCAGTGCCGGACCACTCTTTCAGTGAAGAAGTTTTTCCTAGGATCTAATCTAAACCTCCCCTGATGCAACGTGAGGCCATTTCCTCTTGTCCTATCACCAGTTACCCGGGACACCAGACCAGCACCCGCCTCCCTACACCCTCCTTTCAGGTAGCTGTAGAGACCCATCAGGTCTCCCCTCAGCCTCCTTCAGGCTAAACAACCCCAGCTCCTTCAGCCACTCCTCATAAGACTTGTTCTCTAGATGCTGTGTCAATTTTGAGAAAATTAATTTGGCCTACATTAAGTATTGCGATGACTCTGATTTGACAATATTATCTAGCTAGAGAGGTTTTAGGATTTAAAATACAGGTTTTTCTTTTTTGTTTGAGTACTTCTACAACAACAACCCACCAGCAAAAATATTTTAAACTTCTAAAATAATAAAAAATAAGAACACAACTTATTTCAAATGCAAAGTATTACAGTTTAAAAAAAAACAAACCCCAACCTTCTTACAACATTGTTTATTCGCTTGTATTTTGTCACTGAGAGTAAGTTAGATGAGAATAGTATTAGTAGTGGTAATAATTCTTCTTTTTTGAGGAAAGATTATGTTAATTGAGGCTATTAAGACTAGTGCTGCAGATCTTGCTAAAGTTTGAACCTGCTTTCCTGAAGAGAAAACAAATACACTGCTAAGTGGAAGGAAAGAAAGTAAAAGAAAAGGTAGTTTTTCTTTTTCTGGTGTTCACTTTTATTTGACACTTCCATTATAGGAGAAAGAAAAGTATAGTGCCAAGAAAATGTTACATTTCTACTGCTCAGAAAACTAGCGTGCTTGGTTTTTATTACTTCTCTAGTCCAAGACACTACAGTTTTGCAAAAGCCTTACCTGGTGAAACCAAGCTTTTAAAGCAGTAGGCAAAAGACAGAGAAATAGGTAAGAAATGAAAAAAGGCGATGATAAGGAAACAAAAAACTTGGGGAAGAAGAAGCAGCAATGCCGTGTGTCAGGACGTTAATAAATGCCTGAAGAGATGTCTGTGTTATCTGAGTTCCCCTCTGATTCCCCCTCAGTCTGGTGATGAGTGACTAAGGTGTGTGTATTACCCAAGACCACGGAGATATTAAGGACTGTAAACATGACTATAACATTGATAAAAGTTTGGTTCTTGTAACCAAACATTTTCTGTACTACAGATGCCCAGAAGTAGCAGGGACCAGAATAACCTACATCCTCACTATTTTTCCTACTAACTAGAATTCATCTCCAAAACCGATTTTTAAGTATTTTGTAGTTCTAATCACTTTGTGTTTAGGATCTGTCTTAATATAATCCTTGGAAAGCTTAAGTAGGCTTTCAGTAGGAGCTAATCTGTCAATTGGCTATTAATTATTCATTAAAGATTTTAGAAACCGTGTTGTATGAGGCTGAGATTTTGCTTTTAATTTTTGTTTTAACATCGTAAAATACAATTCAAAATACTACAAACAATAAGGGATTCTTTTCAATTACATTCTTTCATCTTAAAAGACACATGTTGAAGACAGGTGTGTCTGAGGTATTCAGAAGTGCTAAACCAAATGATAATATTTAAAAATTGTAGGTCACTAAAAACTGTGTTTGGTTTTTTTTTTAATTCTGAAGGTCTGTTATAAAGCTTCTAAGTGATTTCTTGAAATAAGCAATATCTCTTTCTAAGATAACATAGGCACTGGAGGATTGGAAAATAACAAGCATACTTGTATTTTAGGGTATTGTATTTTAGGGTATTATTTTTGTATTTTAGGGTATTGTAGGTAAGAGAATACAGAATTATAACATCTGTGTAGCTGAAATATTCGTTTGTTGGGGTTTTTTTAGTAGAACAAAAAACCAACAAGAAGTTCATATCATGTTAACCTAAATACTATTTCCAAAGGAAAAATCTATGTCATTATCACAGGAGGAAACAGGTCCTGATTTGATTTAAATCATGCAAAGTTGTTTATTGATTTATTAATGGCAAGTAATTAACTGGCAGTCAATGACGAGGTTCCGCCTCAGCCACACAGCAGACAAACCACAGCACTTGGCACTTGCCAAATATTAATAAGCATCTACAAATTTCTATACACCCTCCAAAAACTAATTCCAAAGAGTATACTCACATGGTTATGTACGCAAAGAAGTTCCAAGCACGCATTCCCTTTTCTGAGAATGGATGTTCACCCATGTGAGCACACATTCTGTTGGGTGCCCTAGCTTTGTCTGCGTGTGCCATTTCCTAAGGTCTGCTAATCCACACACCAGTGAGAAAGCTCCCCATGAGCTCAAGTACACACACGGGAATTGTGGGTCACTGTTTAACCATGTTCTGTTAGTCCTGTAGCTGAAATGCAGGTTACTTACAGCATCCCACAGTGAGGATGCTCTGTCAGGCCTTAGGCAGGAGGTTGTAGTGCTGGCACATCCAACCTGGTTAGGCTGTGGTTGGGTTACCTTGTTCTCACTCTGTGGTCTCTTCCCCCAGTCACGAGTTTTAATGCTTCTTTACAAGATTGTTCCTTCTCCCCTCAAAAGTTTCTTGGTGGTCCCCTGGTTACTATTTGATCTGGTTGATGGTTGCCTCAGGTAAACTTCATCATTGTTAGCCTCCCCACAACATTATTTGTTTGGGGGCAAACCTTCTCAGCGAACAAACCGTTTGGGGTAATCTTTTCCCATTCCTCTCACATCAGCTGTTGTGATCTGGGATGTGTTGATAAGCAGGGGCTGTGCAGACGCCCCACATGTCGCTACTGGTTAGGATGCTCTGAAGATATTAACATTTTATAATCCAGGATTTTAATTTCCTAGGGGAATTACTATACATTGTGTTCTCTCTTGCTTATCCTCTTCTATAAATTTTGCATTGATGAATAGTGGCTCCCCAAAGAAGGAGGAGTCTTCAGTCCTAATACCTCTTGCTATGTTTTTGTGCTGCATAGACTTGCATTTAAATGTCAGCACATAAAATTCTAAGCATTTGGAGCATGCACCATTTCTCTAAGGGCATATTCTCATTATTAGGCTAAAAAAATCCAGCTGATTCTTGTTTAGTCTCTCATTCTGGGCTCATGAATATGGAGTTTCTTGCTATACAGTAGTTCTTACTGCACTGCATGCAGCCATTAGTAGCTACAGTATTCTCCTGGGAACTTGAAGCCACGAGTTCATCCATGGGGCTGAGCACTCTAATACTAGGAAAAGGGTATTATTACCACCATGGTTGTCATATATAGTCAGTGGCTGTTTGCCAAAGAGGACTCAGCATTGTGAATCCTGAGTAAATGGATGCTTACCAAGTTAGGTGACTCAGTATGCATGCTGTGTGCATAGTGTCTCCTTTTGGAGGATATAACATCCAGGAGCACTATGCATCCCAGAGAGCAGTTCAGGCTCCCATGGTTGTCCATAGAAGCAGAGACCCTTAAAGGCTAGACCCTTAAAAGGCTAGACTCCTTGTATAAATGCTTTGCATCACAGTGTGGCTACTTTGTGTAATGCCTTTTACAAAATCTTTTAGTGGCAGAAATGGTCACGAAAAGCTCGTTACTTTAGGCACTGCAATGTGTGAGCTGGGTCCATGAAGCTGGTGGTCTGTGTATGATCTTTAATCTACATTCCTTATATTTCTTAACTGAGTTAACAAACTTTGCAAGTTCTATATTAAGTTGAAAACACACTTTTGTCTGTATTTCATCTAAAGTAGACATTGGTACACAATATTTTGACAGCATTATGTCCTGTACATGGTTTTAAATTGTGCCACTGAATAGATGTATTGTTTAAAGGAGGTGAGTATTACTAGTCCTGTATTTGTCATAAACTTCTAAAAGGTATATTTAATAAAATGTATTTGGCAGGTTATATTCTCACTGGATTTCCTTCTCTCTCGGAGGAATACATGACTGTTTCACAGCAAATAGAGAAAATAAAAAGTCTAAAATTAAAACCGGATTTCCTGATTAACATTAAGGTAATGTCATCTTCAATAACTTGCTAGTAATTTTCCTAATTATTTGTAGACTCATATGCTGCATAAGTCAAGAGAGAATGTTTTCTCCTGTGCATTTGAGTATAGTATTTATTGAGGAATAATAAGTTGTTCCGTTTCATGTTGGAATGGAATTATACTAGTTTGTTTCAGTATAAGCATTGGTCAAGTAAAATAACAGACGTTTTCTAAAACTTCAGTAGCAGTTACAATCTTTGCACATCTACCAATTAGAAGATACAAGTTTTCAAGAAAAGAAAACTTTGAATAACATTGTTATTATGGGATTTTGCATACATGTACATCTGCCGTTCATGTGTTTCCCGAAGAAGCTTTTCACATCTGGAATTTAGAAAACAAATAGTTTTATTCTTTGCTCACTAATTGTGAGACTGCTTCCTAGTCATTAATTCATCTTGTTTACAAATCTCATTTTCTTAATGACTACTAATGTGACATTCCAGATACTTTACAAAAGAGACTCTGATAAAACCAGGGAAACATAGTCATTCTTAATTTAGGATTAAGAGGACTTTCTCAATGTAACTTAAAATAATGGACTTGCTGGCTATGCCCATATTAGTAAATGAAACAAGGTATCAGTGGCTCTTCAGACATCAGCCCAACTGGTTGAGCAGAACACAGCTACCCTGTCTTGTCAACAAGAGTGGGGCAGCTGTGTCCAGACTGCCCACTGGGAAAGGCTTTAGGCCTGTGCCGTTCTCCACATTGTGCACAGCTATTCACCAGGGAAAATAACTAGCTGGCCCATGCCAAACTGTGCCAGAATCTATGCAGACAAAGTAATGGTATGCATAATCATCTACAAGAGTTCAGGCCCTTCCACCTGATATGTTTTATTTATTATCAGCTAGATGATTTCCATCTTTTACTCTGAATAATCAGCCTCTGCTGTCGTGCTCCATTCTCATTGGGATTTTGATTCTAGTTGTCACATCTATGAGGTTTGTGAGATGCTAAGCTTCAGTGCATGGGCCTAGACTATCATTTTGGCAGATTTAAGTCCGTGTTTGTTTTAATTCCATATTTTTGAGACTTAGTTTGTTTGATCATGCATAATGAAAATTTGTGAATGCCTACTTCAAACCTTTTTTTCTGTGCTCATGGAAAGGTCTTAAAACATCAGAGAAACATACTTCTGTGCTGTTTTTCAGGCAGTTTTGATATTTTCATCTACAGAAAGTCAATCAGATAGTGACAAATCCCAGTTCTTGAGAATATATGTTGTATAGTTTCTTGTGCAACAGTACAAATAGAAGAGCGATACCAACTACACTAGAAAGAAAACAGAATTCTAGACTTCATGAAGTTACATCAACTTCTCCTCTGGGAATAAGACTGAGACTGAATACTTATTAAAAATTCATGCCCCAAAGTCAAATGAATAATTTTACCTTTGATTTTAGTGGGTTCAAACTATTTTCACAGATATGTCAAAATTGTAGCCATTTTCATTATATCAAAAAGAAAGGAAGAAAGAAAAGTCTAGATAACTCTGGGAATAACAGAATACTGTTACTAGCAGACCAATTTAGAGGATTTTTTTTTTCTCCAAGAGAAAAGACAGAAATACCTTTGAAAAAGGAACCATATCTGAACAAATTTCTCCTTTCCTATTTCAAAATGTGCTATTTCATATAGCAGTCGTGTCAGCTGTATGACTTACTATAGAAATATAGGAATACCCTGAGGTATTATAATACTTCAAGGGATAGCTCAGGAAATTAGTGTAGTGTTCTTACTGGCAGCAATATGATGTCAAAATGAGTGTAGTGTGCCTGTTGCGAGCAATGCGATCTCAAAAGCTCTGTATTTTCTGTAAAAGCCAATTGTCTGTTTCTGTAACAATTTGATGTTAACAATTATAATGTTTCCTTGTTATCTCAGGTTTTTCATATATGTTTGAAGGGTAGGTGTTGGTGATTTAGAAAGGAAGAATGATTATATATTGTTTGCTGTGCCCCACCCTCAATTCCACAGTAGAATTTTAAGATACTCATCTTAAGGCTTATCAGAAATCTAAGGACTCCAAGTGCATCTTAATGCAAGTACAATTCAGGATGAGTCAGGCAGAAGCTTTATTAACTATGATCATAGTGAGCAAACATTCAGACAGCATCTCCCTCTCTGCTCCCCTGTTCTCTGCTAAGTGATTGCAGAGACCAAACCAGCTTTTTGTTTCAGGAAAAAAGGAAGAGATGAGGCAAAACAATCCTTACCACATTAACAAAGTCAGGTATCCATCCCTGGAATGGATGGACTCCTTAAGCAGCCTGAAACACCCACAATTCTAAGAAGGAATCAAACAGTATATAATGTGACTATGTAGAAAGAAGGCTCTCAGTGGAGCCTATAGTAGTGGCACACCCAGTATTTTCCTAGAAGTGGGGAGGCGGAAACAGTCACAGACTGTTAGAGTCATAGAAACATTGAATCATTTAGGTTGGAAAAGACCTTTAAGATCATCAGGTGATGTTAGCTTTTAATTGAAAGGAATGTTCTTTAGTTAGGATAAACTTCTTAGCCAGATCCCTCTAATCTTAAATATTAATTTTCACTATCGCAGACCACATCCAGATTTATCTGTGTTTAATATTAAACTAAATTTGTGTCTGCAGGGCTTTTTCTGGAAAGACCGTTGCTTATACTTTCAGAGCTCAAAACTGCTGGACTCCTTTAGCCTCTAAGACAGTGATGCAATGCTTTTGGGTAATAGTAAGCTTTGAGAGGTCAGAGGAACCTAGTAAAATTGACTTAATCTTAGAATCATAGAATCATTTAGGTTGGAAAATACCCTTGAGATCTTCAAGTCCAGCCATAAAACTAACACTGCCAAGTCCACCACTCAACCATGTCTCGAAGTGTGACATCTACACATCTTTTAAATACCTCTAGGGATGGTGACTCAACCACTTCCCTGCACAGGCTGTTCCAGTGTCTGACAACTCTTCTAGTGAAGAAATTATTCCTAAATCTAAACCCTGGCACAACTTGGGGCCGTTTCCTCTGTCCAACACCCACCTAGCTACAACATCCTTTCAGGTAGTTGTAGGGAGTGACAAGGTTTCTGTTGAGACTCCTCCAGGCTGAACAACCCCAGTTCCCTCAGCTGCTCCTCACAGGACTTGTGCTCCAGACCCTTCACTAACTCCGTTGCCCTTCTCTGGACATGCTTCAGCACCTCAATGTCTTTCTTGTAGTGAGGGGCCCAAAACTGAACACAGGATTCAAGGTATGGCCTCACCAGTGCCCAGTACAGGGGGAAAATCACTGCCCTAGTCTTGCTGGCTACACTGTTCCTGATGCAGGCCAGGACACCATTGGCCCTCTTGCCCACCTGGGAACACTGCCAGCTCATATTCAGCCAGGCTGTCAACCAACACCCCAGGTCTTTTTCTATCAGGCAACTTTCCAGCCACTCTTCCCCAGGCCTGTAGCATTGCAGGTGGTTGTTTTGACCCAAGTGCAAGACCTGGCACTTGGCCTCATTGATCCTTATACAGTTGGCCTTGGCCCATTGATCCAGCCTGTCCAGATACCTAAGGTTTGTTGCTCAAACCTGCCTTAGCTATGTAACAAA